TCCCCAAAACCCCAAAACCCCAAAACCCCAGTCGGTTGTATAAGTATTGAAAATAATAAATTATTTAGATTCACGCTTCTTTTTCTTCTTGCGTCATCACCAGCATAGAATTGTCTGAGCAATATGCCCATTTTTTGTAGGAATCCTCTTACTATCAGTGGAATTTACCTCTATAACAGTTTAGAATTAGGGTTTAGAGTCCATACCAAGATCATTAACAGGTGTTCTCATCCTTTTGGAAGCTACTAGGTTCATATTATTTTGTGATATTTTTATCGGGGTTCCATGCCTTATCAAGCATGTATTTTGCTTTTCTTTCTCCATCAGTCCAAGGATTCTTGACTTCTTCCATAGTATTTATGCATTCATCAGCGTTAAACTGATCGATAGTGTTGTCACTATCTTTAAGAATTTCTTCCCCCTGTTTTTCCAGATCTTTCAGTTCATCCTTTAGTTCTTGGTTAGGATCATCATCTAGGGTGACTGCATCAAAAGGTACTATTTTAGTCTCTTCTAGAAACAATGTTTAATGAATTTATTAAAGTGCACCAAAAATCAAAAATTATTTTAGTTACCTTTGTCAAGTTCTTTTTCAGCCTCCATTATAATCCTGTCAGCCTGCTGTTTTAAGTGAAGGCTGTTACTATCATCGTTGAGATTGAGGAGCACGTTTGTAGTGGTTGTTTGCTTTTTAGTCAAATCTTCAGCCTCTGTCAAGGAGACTTCCCCCTCACCTTCCTCCTCTTCCTCTTCTTCCTCATCTTCTTCATAATTTTCACAGTAGTTAATTACATAGCAATAGTCATATACTGAGTGCTTTGAAAATCCTATTCCGATTTTGTCGATGTCTTTGAGGAAAAGAGTGTTCCGATTGGTTCTACTCTTGACACCATCATCGATGACGAGATTGAGGACTACCTCCATAGGGGTCTCAAATTTGCCAAAGCTTAAGTTTTCATGAACCTCAACATTGATATCAGCTTGCTCTGCTCTTTGAGTAGGGGTGAGGTTATAAGAGCCAGTATGAGTCACAAGCCCATTCTTGCCAAGATCCTCAGCATGTCTTTGAGCTAGCTTTCAAAGCTCCTGATCAAAAGTAAGCTTTGAAGAGATTGATTCAACTTCTTCAAGGAACTCTATTGTCTCTTTTATTGCAGTAATTCCTTCAGATGTTTTTATATTAACCTTGGATCCTTTGGAGGTGTTCTTTAAGGAATTATATCAATAAAAGTCCCCTTTCATGTACTTCTTCCTTTCTTCTAAAAACACAAGGAAAGCTTTTGGGTTATTCCTTAATAAATTATGAGAAGTGATATAACTCATTATGACTTTTAAATGATCTTCTCCAAAGTCAACTTGTTCAGATACTGAAGGGATGTCACCATCATAGACACTAGGAGCATGTTTACTCCCTCTTTTTGATAGCTTAGGACTTTGTGCTGATTCGAGGGATTTGGTGTTCCAGTCTTCATCCATTATAAGAATTTTTCAATAATTGTAACATAAATAGGGGTTTTGGGGTTTTGGGGTTTTGGGGTTTTGGGG